ATGACAGCAAGTCCAGGATGAGCGTCGAAGAACCAAACAATCCAAGATCATGGCAAATCGCCAAAAATCAAATCCAGCTAACTGAGTTAACGACGTACGAAGAACGAGCCCAGCTCGGATACACCGATACAGTAATTTGGAAGTGAGTGCAGTACCAGTTTTGGCCACAATTTTACATACAGTTCCATTAACTTTTTTCTATTTTTTTACATTTAAAATAGTTATTTATTGCAGTGATGGCAAAGCTAAAATTTCAGCATCATTACTCAGTTTTCGGTGTCACACAATCCTTCAGAAATCATTCTAATATGCCGATTTGCTGCTCAAGGAACATTAATGTTGAAAACATTGGTGCTGCTTAATGATTTTATTATTATTATTTCCCCCAGTATTCTTTGGTGAATGGAAAGTAAAAGGTATTGCATTTGTTTGGAACCATTTTGTAACATTATAAAGTCTTTAGTGTCACATTTAATGCATCTTTGTGTGTCTTAATGCATGTTTGTTTTCTTTTGGTATATTTAAAAGGAATATACACTAATCCTCCATGTGTAGGGTCAGTCATTCATTCATTGGCCTGTGGATTTAAATACAACAATGCAGAAAAATAAGGCATTATTTACTACTTCAAAGAACTTAAGCTAAACTAATTTCTCTTAATTCCAAGAATGATTTGGTTTTGATTTATTTGTATTATGTTGTTGCCCACAAAGGGTTATTTTGGTAGAAAGGCCAATGGAAGGCATGAGAGGCGTCCCAAGGGTAATATTTAGTTCTAACAATAGCCGGAGAACTGACAAGGACAGTTGTTCCAAACCAAGGCACGATTCACAGAGACGATCAATTGTAGATTGCACAAAACTTCTTGTGGCGAAGTGCCCGTGGTAAAACGGCATCAGGTATCTTGAGGCTCGAGGGCTGAAGTCTTAGTGGTGTTCGTGATATTGCCTGTGGTGGACAAACGGTTGACAAGTCAAGCACTTTTTTCTGTTTTAAAGCAGCATCTTTCATATATTTATGGGCTTGAGTGCGTTACTTTTCTTAACAAAGCTCAGAGATAAAGTGTGATTTTTTTTTTTTTTTTACATTAAAATATTTTATACTATTTAGTCCAATATGTCAACTTCTGTCTAAAACAATGGTGTGAGTTTGGGGCGGGACTACCTGTATGACCAAATATTGACAAGATTTGCATACAGTATGTATGCTATTTTGTAGTATGAAGTGTGATATGTTCACACTGAAAAGTCCAACAAGAAGCGCATTTACCTTACCCAGATGTTTTACTTATTTAGCTGAAAACAAAAAAAAAAAGGTCAGCTTTTTTCCGTAGCGGAAGGAGCGCCGTTGCTGGATGACATACAACCCTTCTAAAATTCATGCACTAGTACACTACATAGTACGTCATTTGGGATATAACTATGAAGGCGATATGAAAAATCAATTAAAAAACAATCAGTGGTGTTTTACCAGTCTGTATGATAGGTTCATGTGACTAGTATTCAGACCACAGTCACAGAGAGTAAGAGGATGGGGTTTGGTTTTCATCAAAAGCTGTGCGCCGTTTTTATTGTAGTATTCTAAATTTACATTAAAAAAGAAAGCCTGCCCATGTCCTAGATCCATTATGAAAGTTAACGCACAAATTCCATATACATCTCATTGTATTTTACATAGAGGATAAAGAGTATAGGCATGGAGGTGGCATGACCAATCACAAAGCTTTAAAAAAAAAAAATCAAGAGATATAAAAACCCAGAATAAATAGAAGGTGCTGTCTATTAGCAGAGTATGTAAGCATGTCACTCTTTTGAGAAGTTCAACATAAAGCCTGTAGCGTGGCAAATCTCACGCCCTCCTTTACCGAAGAAGAGAGATGGGTTCCAAGCGTACTAAAAGCAGAAATGTGAGGAGTAGAGCGAAATGACAATGGAGAGCTTTAACTTGTCTGTACAGGTGCATAAGTTAGAGAGTACATCTGGTTACACAGACACTAAGACATCGACGTCTAGTTAAAATGGTAAAAAAGCAGGTTATCTTTTGTCGATACCCGTCAATTTTTTTTCTTGTAGGCAACAAGACATTTAAGGTGTTCATTTTGCCACGGCCAATCAGGGCAGACCATTTAAACATCCTATAGAGCGCAACAGTGGGGTTTCCGAAGTAGAAATCGACTTACTTTATTAATCTAGCAATCTATTTTCTATTTACTTCCTCCAAATAGAAATGAATTTTTAAACAGTGCATGTAAACAGATCTACAATGAGCTCAGTTTGATAAAAAAAAAAAAAAATAGAAAGAAAAAAGAAAATACTTGACCGCTACTCCCATATATGAAAAAAAAAAACACATTTGAAGAAAGAATTCCCATAAAGCACTATGAAAGACATAATCAAGTAAAGGACCGGCGGTCACTCTAAGACTTTTTTAATTTGAATCAACGGCTCTATAGGAGTCTGTTCAGACAAACATTTGCATGCCATCAATGTGATTTTTTAAATCTTTTTTTACGGATGGTTGTTCTTTACGGATCACACTTCCAAACTGGCCAGCCACCAATAAGAACGCATCCCAGAGCCTCTGCCGTTTCTAAGAAATTTTGCATTTTCAGTCCTTAAAGCAGCACTATGCAGTTTTTTTTTACCTTAAAGGGATAGTTCACTTTGAAATTATTTTTTGTTTGAGCTTACCTCAAGGGCATCCAAGATGTAGGTGTCTTTGTTTCCGCAGTATTTTCAATTTTGACATTTTTCAGTCAAACCGTTGTTTTCTATCAGTCATACACTGGAGGCTAAGGGGGTCCACCAAAAAGCATGAACAGAGAAGTCAAAATTAAACATGATTTAATAACTCGTAAATGTAAGTACACATTGATGGCCTAAGACACGAAACGAGCGGTTTGTGTGAGACAACGAACAGTATTTATATCGTTTTTACCTCGTGTAATCACAGTGCCGTCCAAGCGATCTGAATCAGTTGTGCAATGTCCAACTGAACCGAACTGAATCAGTTCAATGTTACGCCGGAAGTGATCGCTTGCGTGTGACGTCACTCAATATTTACACGGAGATTTCGGAAGTTTTACCTTTTACTAAACATATTTAGATATACCGAAATCGTCTTCCATTGCGGTTTCCCGTATAACTAAATATGTTTAGTGAAAAGTAAAACTTCCGAAATCTCTGTATAAACAAAGAGTGACGTAGGCGTGCAAGCGATCACTTCCGGCGCATGCGCAGACCGAAGTGCCTGTGCCGTCAGATCATTTTGTCATGGCTGATTACAAGAGGTAAAACGATATAAATACTGTTCGTTATCTCACACAAACCGCTCGTTTCGTGTCTTAGGCCATCAATGTGTACTTACATGTACAAGTCATTCAATCATATCAAAAATTAATTTCAAAGTGAACTATCCCTTTAACTGAATAGCTTCAGAGTTATGGCAATTGTTATATGACTGTTTTCGGGTTGAATGTTGGGCGTTCAATTTAGTCAAATTGCGATTTTGTCAAATTCCGTTCGACATCCCCTCCACTGGATGGCAGACATGTCATACTTCATCCCAGACTCAAAAAAAAAAAACATCATAGTTACAGCGCATTGAATCAGTGCGATCAAAAGCGGGGCTAGTGTGAGAGTGAGCCATTTCATCAGAGCCTTTCCGCGATCGCAGCGACAGTATTGTGGTGGAGACTTTGTCTACTTATCACTAGGTATCTTAGACAAGGTCAGATAGGGGGTAACGTGAAGGCAGGGTGGGGAGTCGCAATACAGTGCATTCAAGATCTGGCTGCGCTCGCACTGCTCGTATCATCACTTATGATCTGTGCTTTGCCGTAACGAGTGATCTTTTGAACTAAACAGGTCTTGTCTACTTGTGTTTGTGTGTCATATGAATAATATATGCCCCATACATGGAATCAGAGTGCCTACTGTATGAAGTAAATGGAAAATCTCTACAGCAAAAGGCCAACCACTACATGCATACGGTTTGTTCTACCATTTATTAGTAATGATTCACACAGTTTGTTTACTACTTACTATATACCTGAGCATTCAGTATTGTGCAATATAGCATAAAGGGGGGGAGCATAAAGGGGGAGCATGAAAATTCTATAATCCAAGATTGCTGCCACCATATGACGTCATAATATGCTAATTAGATGGGGAAATTTAACCAAAGACATTCAACTTGACGCCCAACATTCAACCCAAAAGTAGTCATAACAATTGCAATAACTCTGAAGCTATTCAGTTAAGGTAAAAAAAAAAAAAAAAACTGCATAGTGCTTCTTTCCGCAAATAAATGTAGCGTTTTTAGCCTTACAATAAAGCCGTGTTTCCACCGAAATTACCCAGAGTGATTGTTTTTTTCTCCAGATTAGGCAAATCACTCCAATGACGTAGACCTGCGCGCGACTTTCCAGTTCCCGCTGGATTTCATCCTCCGCATAGAAGCTGAATAAAGCCTGAACCTCGTCGTCGGTCCAGCGGTCCTAATTATTTATTAAATACAATTCGTTTTACACTTTATTTATATTTGATTGTCATTCACAATGCTTTGATAGGTTGAGGAGTTCAATCCATCACTGAATCGAATTATATAGCCTTGTACATTAATCTTTTTTGCCATACCTTTTGATTTTTAATTTAAATACAAATTAAAGTGTGCGACAGATCTCGGAGTTTGTTGGTTTTGTTAAAAAAAAAATGTCATCCTTATGAAGAAAATGAATGTGAAACCCCCATGTCGCTGATGAAGCGAGCGGTCACTGTTGCGCTCTGTAGTGTCACAGATGAGGAGAGGGTGATTGGAGTCGAGTGACAAAAGCATTTAGCAGGTTTTCTCGCGAAGCTAGTGCAGGTTCTGATTTTGCGGTTGATTTCCATATTAAACAAACAAACAAATAAAAAAAATCCTACATCTTTTGATATTTCACCCATGTCAAGTGGGCTTCTGTTCAAGTAACCCTGGGGAAAATAAAGTTATAGAAAAGCTTTGGGATATTTTGCCTTTTTAATGACAAGGTCATTAAAATTCATGCACGCTGCAAATAACCTCATGCAGTAGTTATGGTAAACCATCCAAGCACTTTTATTCATTAATATTCATAAATACACACAGCAGCTTCATTAGAGAAGGTCTCTTGTTTCCTCTTCAGTTTTTGAATGTGGAGTATTTATAAGGAGAGCCTTTTGCAAGACACAGGAAGCAGAGGTCTGCCACAGATACCTACGCTCACCTGCTAAAGGAAAAAAATTAGTTATGTGGAATTGATTATCAACTTATATATATTTATATATTTATATTTCTTGTTTTCTCTCTCGCCCCGATTATGTGTCTCTCGGTTTCGCTCACTCTCTCACACGCCTGTTCTGATGCATTTCGATTTTTTTTTCCCTCTCGCTCTCCTTTCATGGATTTATACAATGTAACAAAGGTGACAGACCTGAAATTACAATCACCAAAAAAAAAAAAAAGAAAAAAAAAGGAAAAAAAAAATTAGAGAGAGCTGTGTTTTTTGCCCACCGTCATTGGCAGTTACAGCACAGAGGACATTGTCTGCGTTGTGGTGGGATATCATCAAAGAGGAGGCGGTGGAGGCTCCTTGCCTGTGGAGCTCTCCTTCAGGTTGAGGCTCTCCAGAGCCACATCTAAAGGCATGATGTCCACGCAGCCCATGGCGCCGAAGTCAGCAAAGTCTCGCCTTTCGTCCTCGTCGGAAGACGAGCTCTCTTCTCGCATTAGTGTGGACAGCAGCAGCTCCTGCACAAACAGGCTGCGGTCCGCGCGCTCGCTCTCCAGCGCCTGCCGTTCTGCCTCCGACATTTTCGGCTCGTTCAACCTGGTGGAATTAGATGGATAGAGGGTGACTACTGAATTACAAGTACTAAACTCAAATACACTTTATTTAGAGGGTCCCTTTTGAAAATTCTGTTGACTAGAAGTAACTTTGCAACAACTTTTCAACTAGCAGTCATTAGAGTATTAGTAGACTGTCTGCTTAAAGGGACCATCAAAATAAAGTGAAACCCAAATCTGTAAAAGAGCCCTATGAAATATTTTATATTTTCCTGCATTGTGTAAATCACAGGGCCCTAATAATATCACATTAACATTGAGTGTATGCTTTTAACAACCTCTAGTAACCTAGACTATACCGGTAGACACGATTAACCGGTAGAAATTTTGGACAATCCTCTCTGTCGCGGTTAAGCTGTGCTGCGGCGGGAAACCATTCAAACGCAATATACCAAAATGAGTTCTCTTTAGCTGTTTATGCGCACACCAGACTGATCTCATGAAGTAGCGTGTGTATGACACGCCAATTCGTATTTCCATTTTTGGCGTGCTATCAAGACGCATAATCGCCTTTCAGCGTGTTTATGAACGCCGTTGACTTAACGTTATATAAATATATGACTTACCTCAACCCCGTCCCTAAACCTAACCGTCACTGGGGTTAATGGCATTTATGACTGGAGATTTGACTGCGTGTACAGACACGCGGAATGACGCGGACGTTAATGGCGTAGACATATACGCATACACGCGGATAGCACAAATGCGTGGAGATAACACGCCACCTGACTCGAAAGTGGCGTATATGTTTACGCAAAAGTCATGATGTCATGTTCCGCACACACACCTCAAGCCGCTTGAACGCTCAAATACATTCAAAATGCCCACCTTTACAAATTATCGTCATTTATATTACTTGAAATTGATTTCTTTGTTTCTATTTTATCACTGACTGTTTACTTCTCTTTAGTGAGCTTTGTTTGATAGGCTAGTATTACGTTTTTTTGTGTGATATTAAAATTAGTGAGAGTTATGAAAATGCAGTGGTATACATTTTGTATATAAAAACTTTATAAAAGAAAAAATAACTACATTGTGATATATATATATATATATATATATATATAGTATTGTGAAATAAAATTACTCGTATCGTTTTACAGTATTTTGGTCATATCGCTTACCCCTACCTAGCATTGTAATAAAAATGTCAAATTATTAGATATTTTAAGACACTCAAAACTTATATTATTTTCTTTTCTAAGAAATATAAAAAAAAATAATGTCAAACTATGAAGATAGCATGAAACTTGCAATTTTCTTTTTTCCCCTATAGCAGTTGGACAATGAAACTGAAACACCTGGTTTTACACCACAATGATTTATTGGTGAAGGATCTTCTTTTGTGGCCAATACAGCATCAGTTCATCTTTGGAATGACAGATAGAGGGGTCCTGCACAGTAGCCAGAGGGATTTTAAAGCCATTTCTCTTGCAGGACAGCGGCCATGTCACAATGTGATGCTGATGGAGGATAACGTTTTTCTGAATTGCTCCTCCAAAATACCCCAAAGTGGCTCAAACATTTTTAGATCTGTTGACTGGACTGTGCAGTCCATGGGAGTTGTTCAACTTCACTTTCATGTTCCATCAAAACAGTCTTGCTGTGTACTGGTACATTATCATGTTGTTATGGAGAGAATGGTTTGGTAGTCCTTGGCAGTGACACACCCATCAAGCACAGTTGAGAATGCCATGATATTGCAGCCCAAACCATCACTGATCCACCCCGTGCTTCACTATTGGCAGCAACAGTCTGGGTGTTACGCCTCTTTGGGGCTTCTCCACACCGTAACTCTCACGGATGTGGGAAAGACAGTGAAGGTGGACTCATCAGAGACCAATACATGTTTCACATTGTCCACAGCCCAAGATTTGCACTGTTGGCACCATTGATAATGACATTTGGCACTGGCACGAGTGACGAATACTGACTCTGTGGAGGTCCCGTCAAAACAGTTTTGGTGGAAACTGGAGAGTAGAGGTGTACATTTAATTTCGCAGCTGGGCAGCTGTGGGTTTATGTTTTTTTATTCAGTCACTGTTAGTATCTGGACATCCTTTTCAGACAGCTTACTCTTGCTTCGACAGTTACTCCTGTTGGATGTGGTTTGTCCTACGTGGCGGTATGCCACCATTACCCTGGATACTACAGGGGTTGGACAAAAAAACTGAAACACCTGGTTTTACTACACAATAACTTGTTAGAATGGTGAGGGCCTCATTTTGCATCCAAATACAGCACCAATTGACAGATAGAAGTCCTTCACAGTGACCAGAGGGATTATGAGCCGTTCCTCTTCCAGAACAGTGTCCAGGTCACTATATGATGCTGGTGGACTCGCTCCTCCAAAACACCTCAATAATATTCAGATCTGGTGACTGTCAGACCATGGGAGATGTTCAACGTCACTTTCATCTTCATCAAACCCTTCTGTCACAAGTCTTGCTGTGTGTGTTGGTGCATGATCATGCGGTTTGAGCGGTTTGAGCATCAGGTGCTCATGATCCTCCAGAAGGGTTTGGTAGTCCTCGGCAGTGTCGTGTCCATCAAATACAATCAGGATTGTCATGATTTTGGAGCTCAAACCATCACTGATCCACCCGTGCTTCACTCTGAAGATTGGCTGCCAGGCATATAGATGTGAAACCTCCAACATTGGCCAGTGTTTCAGTTTCATTGTCCAACCCCGGTATAGCTCTCCATACACCACAAAGACTTGCTGTCCAGGTCACAGATGAGCCAGTGAGACGCACACCATCAATTTGTCCTCTTCTGAACTCTGATTAGTCTCCGATAATGTTTTGGATTGCAATATTTTATGTACAGCTTTGCTATTGCTGTAATTCAACCTTCACACTCTGCTGAAAGTAATATGTAAAATATACACATATATACGTGAAACCTCCAAAACTACATAATGGCCAGTGTTTCAGTTTCATTGCATCATTGTCATAGGCTAATTGTAGTGATTGTTCCTTTTATTAAATTGTCTGGCTATTGGACAAACTTATGTATGAATACATATATATAAAAATGTGCAAGGTTAAATCATTCATAGTAAGCTACATTCTGAAGTAGGTAAAACTATAGATGCTAGAGGTGTCGCCATGGTGAGCTGATGATGTAAGACCCATCCCATTAACCCATCAACAATTTTGAGCCTATGGCGAGGCCTGAGCCATACCGTGTGAGAAGGAACTGGGAGCTGTGGGAGGCCAGCGGGTTGCTCTCAGTCATGGCTGTGTTTGTGGCGGTGCTGGGCGGCGGGATGCTGGCGCTGATGTTGCTAGGGTTGCTGCGTTGGCGTGTAGCATTGCGAGCCGTCTCCAGCTGCTGGCGCGCCGCCTGCGCCTGCTGGCGCTCCAACTGAAGCTGCATTTGCAACTGCTGCAGCTGCGAGGCCGAGGGCCCAGAAGAGTTGAGCTGCCCTCCCGCGGAGCGCCGCACGCCCGACAGCTGAGACAGTAACTCTGGTGATGTAGACACAGGGAGAAAGATTGTGTGAGACAATTCAGGAAAGACTAAAAAAAAAACAAGGCCAGATTAGAAAGTCCTTACTTCCTGTCCATACACATTACACACCTGCTATGGGGTCCATGGCTTCCCTATTGCTTGGAGAGTAGGAGGAGCTTTGTGAAGAGGAGAGCCCACCAGTGGAACTGCTGGTAAAGTGCATGTTAGTCCTGCGTGCCCGCGGACCGCCCAGCCCCCGCCCAGGGTGGAACATCCGACGCACGTGCCGCACGCCGCTGCTCTCATCGTGCACATGCTGGTTAAGGAGCAACTTGTTGAGAATGCGTCACTACACACCCGATGCAATAGATCACATCTCACGCTAATTCAAAAAATATAGTCATATGCATTTACATAGACAGACACAATGAGCTGTGGTGTTTATAAGGGTTCAAGTTTGAGTCTGATTAAGTTTTTGCCCCCCAATTATTGCCTGTTACTATCACTTTATTACGCAGAGTAGTAAAGAGGCGAAAGCCTAAAAAATAATAATTCAAACACTCAATTTTCAAACCTCCAACCATAAACATGTATAATTCGCTACTTGCAAGATGTGCTTTTAATAAAACTTGGACGTCTATTCGGAATATATATATATATATATATATATATACAGTATATATATATATATTATAAAACTGTTTTGCTGAAAACTTCAACTCCCATAATTTATTTTATTTTGGTGCCACCCCTCTGTTGATCGGAATTGAATGTCTTTGGGGGGGAATACAAAAATGAAGTTTAAAATATAATTTTAAAGAACCAATACAGGTTATGCTCATTGAAAAGTTCATTATTTTATTTTTGGGGTCTGCTAGAACACCTTTACATGGTTTAAAGTTCAAAAAAACACATTTGTCATACTGTACAGAGCTGCAGCACCTCATTTTAGCCTCTGCCTGAAACACTCAGTTTAGGCTCCTTTCTCTTTAGAGCAGGGGTTTGCAATTGGTCACCTGGGCCAGTCTGTCTTGATTGGTCTGACCATAATCCAGTTTTAGCTCCCTAAGCTTCCTGATCAGCTGTAAACAATATTAAATCTATAGTAACTATAACGTTGATATTGGAAGTCGATACAATGTTTTTTCGCCCTTGCAGAGGAAAAACAGTGTGTCCTTGACAGCAAAATCATAGCTGTTTAGTGAGAACGGGCTAAAGCAGCAAGCAGGCGGGTATTATGCAAATGTGTAACATGGTGAAGTAGCCAAGTCAGGGCCGTAACCACCATAGACATTGAGGGGGACACGTCCCCTCCAATAATTCGAAATGTCCAACTTAATTTAGGGCTGAACGATTATGGAAAATAAAATAAAAAAATCGACAAAGACAAGCAATTAATCACTGTACAGTAGGGATGGGAATCTTTAGGCAGCTCATGATCAGATCTACTTTTTTCTTATTAATGAATCTTAACACTTAAAATATGTACTCAATTACATGTGTAAAAATACACACTTTATATATATATATATATGAAGAGTTCAGATGCAAAAGTCTCTAAATGCCATTTGAAATTTTCTTCTTTAATGATGATTTTTATCAAACTTGTATATTTAAGTTCAGTAATTTCACTTAAATAACAATTAATAGGTAATTGTCATTGCCATTTAAGTGAAATTACTGAACTTAAATATACAAGTTTGATAAAAATCATCATTAAAGAAGAAAATTTCAAATGGCATTTAGAGGCTTTTGCATCTGAACTCTTCATATATATATATATATATATATATATATATATATATATATATAAAACATTTAATTAAACCATTTACATGTTAAGAATTTTAAATAGGCTATATAAACGAATATAGCTTCAAAATATAAAAGCTAGTAAATAAAGAGGGACAAAAAAAAGCATTACAAGTAATAAACAAAGAGTGCTTTCAGTATTTAAAAGTAGGCTGTCTGAATGTTTTTCATTCAAGAGCTGGATAGCGTGCCAAGTTGATGCTTGATCTTGTAAAATCACATTTCATCATATCGCGATATTATCACAAATGCAATTAATCGTTCAGCCGTAATTTAATTCACACTGAAATTTAAGTCACTACACACTGATAATCCTTACTGCCAGTGAGATCTATGCTGTGACCAGATCAAGTCGGGTAAATTGAACTTGATAAGCGGATCAGTCCGGTTTGTGAACAAATTATTCAGTATTTTTTTTAATATATTTGGTTACATTACATTACATGTTTCAGTGAAAAGATCCAATTCCAAAGAACTTTTCATTTATGAATCAGACATTGAAATTTGTTTTGCAACTTAAAAGTCTCCCCCATTCATTGTAATTGAATGGAAAAGAAGGTCCAGTACAATTCTTTGAAATATCTTCTGTGATCCACAACAGTGAACTCATATAGGTTTGGAACGACATGAAGGTGAGTAAATAATTCTGAACTTTAGATTGTGTGAAAACCATTACAATCCTCAAATACGAAAAAAAAAACCCACAATGACATTATGCAACCACAGTGCAGACAACATTAAGTTATTATACATGGATTGAACAAATGAAACAGTGTTTTAGGAATGAAGTTCATTATTTCTATACATATTAGGTTCAGATTAAAAGGATATTAAATCTCTAGGTGCTCTGTGTTCAAGTGTGAGATGAGCAGCAAAGTCATCTGTCACATGATTGGGGTCGCCACCAGGCAAAGCTGCACAGATTGGGCAAATCTGAAACAGAGAGAGAAAATCCTTACAAATTAGAGGAATATTTTCGTTTTTACGATACGGATTACGATTCTGCATTGATGCATAAAAACAAAAGAATAGATCTTTTTTTTAATTTAACTGTTTATTGTAAAAAAACAACAACTCTTATTAAAGGCTATATTACTAAAAAAATTGCATTTTTGTTTATAAGCAAAGCAATCTGTTATTGTGAAAAGAACATACATGAATGAGAAAAACTGTGGGATGCGTTTGATGTTTAACAGAGTTATTAGGGGCAATAAAAATATTTCAATGCTTTACTCGTGCTGACTGACACCCCGGAAGCGCATGCACAGAAAGATAGCCTACGTGCATTAGGTGACATAGATGTAAACCTGCTGCTGTTTGTCATTAATGTTCATCAAACAATAAAAAAAAGCGGAAATCAATCACTGGTCTCGACTGAATAACTTTTGTAGCTTTGATAACAATCTATTAATTTATTTGTAATAAATACACTGAAGATTATGCATTATTTCTTACTTTTATGCTTTTGTGAAATGGATGTAAAAAACAAATGTAAAGCACTGTTTATTTAATTGGTTTCTCTCATATATACAGTGGGGCCAAAAAGTATAGTCAGCCAGTGATTGTGCAAGTTCTCCTACTTAGAATGATGAGAGAGGTCTGTAATTTTCATCATAGGTACACATTAACTATGAGAGACAAAATGAGAAAAAAAAAAAATCCAGGAAATCACATTGTAGAATTTATTTGTAAATTATGGTGGAAAATAAGTATTTGGTCACCCAAAAACCAGCAAGATTTCTGGCTCTCACAGACCTGTAACTTCTTCTTTAAGAAGCTCTTCTGTCTTACACTCGTTACCTGTATTATTGGCACCTGTTTGAACCCGTTATCTGTATAAAAGACACCTGTCCACTAGTGTTGGGCGATATGCTCCATTTTCATATCGTCCTATCGTCAGCCTGTGAGATCGGCGATACACGATATTATCGTGAGGGGGCGGGGCTAACTTATTTGATTATTAACTTGATTATTTAGCCTACTCATTAATTTGCTTGTTTTATTAGCCTACTTCGTTTTATATACGAGAATCTTTTTTCTATTTTGCTAGCAAAGGTGGAGTGTTTATTAATAGGATCAGGTTATTTCCTGGTATAGTGAAGTAAAAAAAAAAAGAGATCCTAATCCTTTTGTTTGTCAACGGGAAATTTACGGACACATTAGCCTATTCTCATGCCATTACATGCAGCATTTTGGTCTATTTCTGCACGAGATGAAAACACGTTTTAATAATTTCTTGGGTCAGAAAGAGTCGGAGTTTGCGATATGTGCCCCCCTATCAGTGCGCTCTCTGCGCACTTCACATGCGCACTTCAGTAAGCACGAAGTACGCGGGTTAATGTGTTTTAAATGCCGATAGAACAAGAGCAAGGGCCAAACGTCTAGCTGAGTCGATCGGTTTATACTTATACTTATGACTTGACTCTGATAAAGGAAACGTTTACATGACCACATGCATTGTCAAGTTTATTCAACATAATCAGGTTAAGAACGTCGTCGCATGTAAACGCGCTCTATCTCTGAAAGTGAAAGTAAAAACGGAGACGACGATGATAACGGTAACTATAATACTATTTTAGTGATATTATTATTAATACTATTTAGTAATTGTATTGTTTTTAGTGTTAGTGTCATTAAACGTTTTGTTAATGTGTTACAGAAACAAATACTGACGAACAACAATGCCGTTTTCATCTTGGATCTGTAGGAAATTGAATTTTGCGTCTGTTAAAACGAGCACACTTGATAATTTGTGAATGGATCACCTTGCGATTGAATTTTGATGTGGGATGTTTTTTAGTCTGTTTTAAAAACATTCTCTTAGAGGAGTCCTCATTAGTGCGTGTGTTGTTGCAATTGTTATGAGGTGATGTCGTTGTAAATTTAGGCAAGGCAAATTAATTGTAGTTCCTAATATTCATTTAATAACAATACTAGCTTTATAATAATAATAATAATAGGCCTAATAATAATAATTTAATACATTATGGTAAAACGAGCCAATTATCGTATTGATATCGTCAAAGGCATCTGCCATCGGCGATATGTCAGACTATCGGCACAACCCTACTGTCCACAGCCTCAAACAGTCACACTCCAAACTCAACCATGGCCAAGACCAAAGAGCTGTCGAATGACAACAGGAAGAAAATTGTAGACCTGCACCAGGCTGGGAAGAGTGAATCTACAATAGGCAAGCAGCTTGGTGTGAAAAAAAAAATCAACTGTAGGAGCAATTGTAAGAAAATGGAAGACGTACAAGACCACTGATAATTTCCCTCGATCTGGGGCTCCATGCAAGATCTCATCGCGTGGGGTCAAAATGATCATGAGAACGGTGAGCAAAAATCCCAGAACTACGCGGAGGGACCTGATGAATGACCTGCAGAGAGCTGGGACCAAAAAAACAAAGGCTACCTACCATAAGTAATAAACTACACCGAGAGGGACTCAAATCCTGCAGTGCCAGGCGTGTCCCCCTGCTAAAGCCAGGACATGTCCAGGACCGTCTGAAATTTGCCAGAGAGCATATGGATGATCGAGAAGAGAACTAGGAGAATATCATGCAGTCAGATGAAACCAAAATAGAACTTTTTGGTAAAAACTCAACTCGTAGTGTTTGGAGGAAGAAGAATGCAGAGTTGCATCCCAAGAACACCATACCTACTGTGAAGCATGGGGGAGAAAACATCATGCTTCGGGGCTGTTTTTCTGCAAAGGGGACAGGAAAGCTAATCCGTGTTAAGGGAAGAATGAACAGGACCATGTGTCTTGAGATTTTAAGCCAAAACCTGTTCCATCAGTAAGAGCCTTGAAGATGAAATGGGGCTGGATCTTCCAGCATGACAATGATCTCAAACACCACCCGGACAACGAAGGAGTGGCTCCGTAAAAAGCATTTCAAGGTCCTGGAGTGGCCTAGCCAGTCTCCAGACCTCAACCCCATAGAAAAAAGCCTCAACCCCATTTGAAAGTCTGTGTTGCCCAGAGACAGCCCCGAAACATCACTGCTCTAGAGGAGATCTGCATGCAGGATTGGGCCAAAATACCAGCTACAGTGTGTGCAAACCTGGTGAAGACTTACTGCCTCATTATGCTTCTGCGTCAACTCTACGGCGTAGCTACGTCGTCACTGCTACGGCGTCGTGGCCGTTTTATGCTTCTGCGTCAGGCTGTGGTGCTTCGCGGTGCATTTCGCCGCCAGAACGCTAGGGGGGTTCGCGAATCTCTTTGGTTCCGTGCGCAGCGAGCGAAAGAGAGAGAATGTTGTTGCAGCTGCCAGCTGGAGCTAATCGACGTTGAATTAACAAGACGACACAAACTTTATCCCCACAGAAACAACACGGATAATAATAATAATAAAAAAAGAAACAACACGGATGTCCAGGGCCCGTTCCACCCATAGACAGTAAAATAAAGGTTCCACCCGAGCTGCCATAACGATACCTGTTTGGAATGACTTGAAGGATTTTTTTCAGTCTCCACATGGAACTGTGCTATGGCAGGATAATGTGTCCCGTGGCAGACTTGGTTAGTACTGTATTATCAATGATGTAACCGTGAACATTGTATTGAAAATAAACAACAAACTGTGTTTCAAAACAAACGTTGATTTATTGATTGATTGAAGTTTATTGCGAGCAAAAAAGAAAGAAAAGAATATAGACATATATATTAACAATGAAATAAAAAAAACGGTTTATTTTTAGTTTAACGTTAATTCTTTATTTACTTTCTTTATAAGAGTATTATAATTATCAGAACGAGGGTGCAAATGTTAAAAATAGCGCAATAGCAGGAGGGGGAAATCAGAAAAGCTACACTCCTGAAATTATGTATAATCTGACCAATCAAAGCCCTTGCTGTCTGCGTCGCCTCGACGCGTAGTTTGGAGGTGCACGTCGAGCTACGGCGGAGGGGTCGGAGAGGGGTTCGCGTCGACGGATAGGGATCTGCGGGGGTACGCCGCCGATTCGACGCAGAAGCATAAAACAGGCTTTAGAGCGTTTAACGTTTGACCTCTGTCATTGCCAACAAAGGTTATGTTACAAAGTATTGAGTTGAACTTTTGTTATTGACCAAATACTTATTTTCCACCATAATTTACAAATAAATTATTTAAAAATCCGACAATGTGATTTCCTGGATTTTTTTTCTCTCTCATTTTGTCTCTCGTGGTTGAAGTGTATCAACAGACCTCTCTCATCATTCGATTTCGAAGTAGGAGAACTTGCACAATCAGTGGCTGACTAAATACTTTTTGGCCCCACTGTAGATATCTATAGATGCATAGTGATACATTGAGAATAATTTTATAACTGAATCGTTGCCCTCTAAATCCTAATCGAATTGTGAGGCAAGTAAAGACACACACCTTTATTACAAATACAAAGCATCAAAACATAGTTGAGCCACTTGAAACTATCAGTCAGATTAGCTGTATTTTGCATTCAAAGCACATGAATGATTAGCTCAGGAATGAAAGTTCTCTCTCAGTGGTTGATGAAAATTCACATCACGTTCTGTTAGTTTTGGTGTCAGTCCCTGCAGGTGATTTGTGTTTGTGAATAAGAACATCAAACCAAGGATAATAAAGATCTTGAGAGAGCTTGAAAATGTTGTACAACAGTTAAACGTTAAAGAAATAAATAAAATAAAAAACCAGCAGCTTCACACCAAGTCCAAACCAGACTCAGTGAGCCGCAACAGCTATACATAACACTTTTTTTTTTTTTACGCAACGTCACTGCTGGGAACAAGAAGACACAAACTGTTTGCCATGTCAGTGCGCTTGCAGCGAGAGCCCGCCCACACGCTCCTTTCATTGGCTGTGATTGTGATTGATTTTTTGTCATCTTTTAGCCTCATCGTGTCTAGTGTGGACAGGAAATTTGCTTGTCGCGGGAATCTTATTTCATCGAGTTTAGTTAGGACAAGGTGTCACATAACTTAAACATTTCAACAAAGACAGCATGTGTACTCACCACCTCTGTAGAGGTCTCTGCGTGCTCTGAGGTCACATGCTCCTGTAGAGATGTTTCCGTGTAGCCCATTTTACCACAGTAAGGACAAGTAAACGACTGAGGCTGCTCTACTGAGAATGCCTCCCCCCCATAATACAAGTCTGTAGAGAGGTCAGATAAAAGTCAAAAACACTTCAATTAGCATCACCATTACCAAGACTTGGTGTTCACATTCTGTAATGTTTTAAGCATTATTTGAACAAGGTAACATTAATTATTATGTGATAAATAGAGTAAAAGCATGGTATTGTTTGACATTACAGCTTACCAAAGTCTACCCTGGTTAGTATGCACTGCATTGGGTGCTCCGTGGTGTGTCTAGTTGTCGTGGCTCCACTTTCGTAGCAAGATGCACAAAGGTCGTAGTCGTAGCAAATTAAACACTTGTATCGGCGCCCTCTGAAGTTCCCTTTTAAACACGCATCACAGCTCACACCTGCGGGAGAACACAGAGGCATTTAACTCCAAACAACAACAGAAGACCCCGATCGTATTCAGCACAGGCGGGATTCGCCTGGTTAGTTTCAATCCATTATAAAAAAACATGATATCAGCACTACACATGAGACTCGCAGAACACTTATTCAAAACAGTTCCTTGTGTGTTTTGTCTTGTGCAAAGCAGGAGGAAATTATACCACAGCACTGACCACTGAATTGTTCGACTTTTGGACTGCAGACAGCAAGAGAGTTCAATTTACACGGTCAAAACAGCAAGCAGTAACACATGTGTGAAAATCATGACATTGTGAATAGTGACATTAATATTTAATATATCTTAGTAGATTTAAACGTCAACGTAAAGCCAGGGACACACCAAGCGGACGGTTTGCCGTCGGGCAACATCAGGTCATTTTTGAGCGCCGGTTGGAGTAATTTTTTCGGCCCGATATCACATCAATAGGCTGTAAAACGATCTGTCACACGTAGGTTTATTACTGTACTGCCCTCCACAGTCACAGTGTGTATCAGTACAATGCCAGTCACAAAAAGTTACATTTTGACTGTGCTCTCTGCAGATGCTCTCTGTATTTGATTTGTGGTATACTGCAACAATTTCAAGTCATAAGTCTTAGACTCTTTATTATTTATTTGTGTATAAGATATGCATGTCGCTTCGTATGTTACTAATCATTCAGAATATGCGCAAGTCCACAGACATCATTCTATATTTTAGTATGCAAGCGGTTTGTGATTTTGCTACTTATTTTTTTGTCTGAAGGATTATATTGCTCATTGCACATAACAGAAGGATGTTGGTTTGAAGTCCATTATTTTATGTTAGAGATTCAGAATATGCTGAAGTTTGTATTCATTGATTGACTACAAGTATGCTGCCAGTACAGGCACACATTTCTTTTCCTGTTGGTTCTTTGCAATGTTGGGACATATGCTGGAAAATGCAACCTCACAGATGACTTGCTAAATTTGTTTAATAAAATATATTGAAAGTAAATTCTTTATGGGTCATTATAAATACTTTTGCTCTCAATCTTCAAATGTGTGGAGGATTAGAGATGCACAGATTGTGGCTCAGGCGAACCAAGTAAAAAAACAACAACATTTCAATTAATTGCAAGTCGGTCGCGTTTGGATGAGAGATAAATCATTAATTCGTTGATTTAATAAAAACACAGAGCTCTTATTTCATGGTAAAACGCAACAAACATACGTCACATTTGCTTTAGATTCAACGTATTTTAGAACAATGTACAACTCTTCAGGGAACACCAATCAAGGAACACATGCCCTAGTAGTTATTTTATAAAACACAAAAGGGAAAAAAAACGACGAGAAATTGGTTAACTTGCCATCATTAACTAAAAATATACAGAACAAGACAGAGCTCGACACAGGATTTTCAAAGAGACTGAAAATAAAAATGCAGTGCCGCCAACAATATTGGATGTCACAGTATTATCGCAAGTGTGAGTAACGTTTTTAAATTGCTTTGTTTGAAACAGATCGTTTGATATTTTCTGAGTATTTATACTGTAGCGCCACAGTCAAACTGAATAGTTGTGATTTGCTGTTCTTTCCTTTGATTAAGCATTTATGGGGTTAATGCGTTGGATTATTGCATACAAAAAGGACATAGAGAACATTGCTTTTGTTATTGTTTGATTGAAGGACAATTTGCTGTGATTCCTGTATAAAAGCCTCAGAGCGACAACTTTTGTTTTGTCATCAGTAAGACAATTGTTATTTAGCCTGTTTTATTTAAAACACAACACTGCAAATGACAATGTATACGCAAGTTTTATACGCAAGTCATCCCGTCAACAACAATAACCATGGAAGTACTTAAACTATTTGCCACTACAACCAAGATTTATAAAGCATATGTGTTAAAGGTGCTCTGATTGATCAGTCGCCGATCATAATCGGCCGATAATTGCTTTGGGATGTGTGATCGGCGGTCTCTAAAGGCTGATCCAGAAAATCCGATCAGATGACGCAAAACTCGCGAGACATTTTTTTTATGCCCTGGTAAAAATGGCTTCAGCTGTCTGGCAATTGTACAAGGTGTGTGAAAAAGCAATTCACTAGCAATCCATCTGCAATGTGTGTACCACGCCGCTGTCTGCTTGTCAAACTATGCAGCCTCTCTGATCAACCCGTAAAATCACCGGTAAGAATAGAGTCTGTCCACAACACAAGCGCGTGTCCGAGTAAAGACTGCACGGGCTACAGAGAACACTGCATCCACTGATCGCCGCAGCAACAAGCACTCAGGTTGAGTTCAAAAACTCATAATATATATGAAGCCATACTGTAGTATAATGTGAGATAGAAATTAATGTTTAAGTCATTAAATTCAAGTTCACGTAAACTTTTCCCTCTGCTGTCAGTCATTCTCCATTCACGTTCAAATAGCGCGTCGTCAGTCATTCTCCATTCAGCATTAAAACAGCACAGCGCGTAGCGTTCGGCAACGATGAAAACTCTCTGCAAGATGACTAAATGTTAATATTATTATACTTGATCTGTAGATAAAGCTCTGGATTCGCATAAATTGACTCTCTTGCTGTAGTACCTCAATCATGTTCCTTTCTACCATGTGTATCACAATACTGGAGAGCACTATCATTGTTCTTCACGCGCACAGTAACTAAAAAGTAAAACTGTTAAAAGAAAAGGCTCAATAAACTATTGCATAGATAGATACTGTATAATACACTATGCATCGATATGTAGGGATGCACCGAATATTCGGCCGCCGAAAATTTTCGGCCGAAAATGGCCCAAAAGTGCATTTTCGGTTTTCGGCCGAAAGACTTTTATCACCGAAACAATACGGCCGAAATGTTGTGATGACGCAAACAGAAACCGCGACCTGCACGTGCTTGTCTGAAGCAACATGTCTGTGGTGTGGACGTATTTCAGTGTATCTGAACCCGCGATGAGACGGAAACCTTGTTTATCCACCTATATCTGCTCTAAACAATGCGCGCCGCCATGACGACGAGTCCGGATGCGAGCGGGTCAAGAGCGGTGCGCGCGCTGTCTGTGGAGACTCTCGCTGCGGAGGCAGGCGAAAGTATAAACAAGGCAGCGCGAGTCTCCACAGACAGCGCGCGCACCGCTCTTGACCCGCTCACAACCGGAGTCGTCGTCATGGCGGCACGCATTGTTTAGAGCAGATATAGGTGGATGAAACAATTAAAAATTATAAATAAGACTCGCGCTGCAGAGGCAGGCAAAACAAGGCAGCGCGAGTCTCCACAGACAGCGCGTGCACCGCTCCAAACGGTCGAGGCGTTTATACTTGACGCGCTCACCGTTATACTATTCCTTGAAACGACAGGGGACGACTCAAGTAACTGTCCTCTCTAACCATCAGGAATCGGTGAGAAGAAGACAGATAAATACATGACAATGTTTATTTTTTTAGTATTCCACCACCAATACAAAAATAATCATGTAAAACTCAGTAAACCCTGAGATTATTACTTGTGACATTACAAAAAAATATGTATATTTGGGAACATGTATGTATAGAACTAAATTAATTAAATATTTTCTACATTCACTAAACATGTTTCATTAAGTTTCATGTACATTTGTATTAAACATGGACCATTGTTCATTTAAAAAGGCTTTTTATGCTATTGTATGCTAAATTTTTAAAATGTAACTAATTTAGACATGCAAACTGGGTGCTAGTGTGATGAGAAGTTTGTGCTCGGCTTTGTTTTTGAGAGAACATTTCATTTTAAAACCTTTCTGCAGGCCAGTAGATTATTATTTAGTGTACACATGAGTGGGGTCAAGTTAAACATTTTAGTTTGAATTTTATTTTATACTGTGCATTGTGCTAAATAAATATTTGCATAATTTGTAATTGATTTATTCTTTGAAAATGTTATATTAATTTATGCAATTGCAATGCCTTGATTTTAGTAAAGTTTGTACACAGTCATATCATAGCCATAAATGCAATTATACTAATAATTGGCATAATTTCTTTCGGTGTTTCGGTTTTCGGCCTTGGTTTCCTCCTTTTCGGTTTTCGGTTTCGGCCAAGAATTTTCATTTCGGTGCATCCCTATCGATATGTATTTCCTTTGTGCTTAGAACTTTTCCAAACGGACTCCAAGAGCTGCGCGCTGTGACTCATGTTGCCATATTCGCTGTGTGCCGCACTCTATTGGAGTCTTTCATAATATATATCATAATAATTTTGCACAATAAAAGATTATTAATTGCATTTTTTGTTCTGTTCTGTTCTATCTATCATAAGTTTCTGCCTCATTAAACAGCTGTACTATACATTTGTGCTATATTTTTTTTTCTTAATTTTATAGTAGACTATAAATTATTCGGATCCCCCCCGGAGGGGTAATATCCTTCTCACCGTTTTCACCCCTGACCCGTTTTCATGTCTGATAAATACACCGGTGTAAATTCATGATACATTGTCTTCTCTTAAATGTAATCCTTAATGTACATTGTTGTTAAATGTAGTTTAAAGGGCACCTATTATGCCCCTTTTTACAAAATGTAATATTGGTCTCTGGTGTCCCTAGAATGTATTTGTGAAGTTTCAGCTCAAAATACCCCACTGTTAATTTATTATAATATAACCATTTGAAAATGTAATTTTGGGGCCTGCTTAAAAATGACCTGTTTCGGAGGTATACGGCTTTAAATGCAAATGAGCTGCATATCCCCGCCCTGCCTTTGGATGAGGGCTTAAAGGTGCCATCTACCATAATAAATCAAATCCTACTCCATATTCCATAACAGATGGGGGCAGTATACCTCCAAAAAATGACTTGTGCTCCTACCATCGCGCATGTTATTCAAATCATTTGACATGATAGTAAAAGGTTGGAAGACCGCAGTTTCACGTGGAACATTTGGAGATTTTTAGAGATCAGAGACTCAATGAACTAAACACTAGAGTGAACTAAACTAAACACTATGAATCTCA